TAACTAAAATCCTCCTCCATGAGGGGTATTTTTGCCTGGGCGGCTGCCTAGGGACTACCTGCCCAGGAAGCTTGTGTAGGCCACGGCGATGCGCCTAGGTTGGCCAAGTGGCCAGGCCTGTCTAAGCGGCCATTAATCACTGCTTCCAGGTTCATTTGGGTAATTTTCAAGTGCCAGGATCTCTGATCTCTGCAAAGTGCAGCACTTGAATTCCAAACATCAACAATGCATATTGTGCCGCTGACTTTCTTTTATTTCATTCCTCTCTTATCTCTCTCTTTCTTCCTCCCACCGAATGCTCCCTTTTACACCCTCTCTCGCTAAAAATCTTTTTCTCCTTACTCTCTCTCTAAAGTTTATTCTCTCTCTTAAGCAAATTCTCCTTCACTGGGGTCTAACCTTTCGGCTCATTTTTACTCTCTAGGCTATGGGTTCCCAGGCGAGTTTGAAGAAACTGGAGATGGTGGAAAAAGAGGGCCGACAATGGACTTCTGGGGAGAGGAACGTGTCAAGGAATAAGGGTCGGGAAAAGGTATGTATTTGAACCCTTGTTCCTTTGAGTTTTCTGCTTTGACCTTTCCTTTGCATGCATATGCAGGGTCTGCATGTTTGGCCCAATTCTTGCATGAAATTTTCATGTTGAATGCTTTTTATTGCATACTTCTTTTCATGGTCTAGAGTTTGAGAAGTACTTGCTTGCTTGATTAGCTTTTGTAAAATTTCGCTCTTGAAATTTTAGAGGATCTTGCCTTGGTAAAGTTGCCCTTGAAATATTGGGTGAAATGCCCCAATAAGGCATTTTGCCGCTATTTCACACGCAAAATCCTTCACGCAGGTTATTTTGGCCATAGAAACTGAGCCAGAGCAGCAAAAATTGTTTGGGTCCTAAAATGGTCCAGCTGCGCGTAATGCATCCCTGGGATCTGATGTGCGCCACCGGGCTCAATAGTTATTAACCTCATTTTCTTCTATATTGCCTTTTGCTTGCTTAGGGGTGGCAACGGGTTGGGTTGGGTTGGGTCCAGTTCGGGTCTAGCCTAACCCGGTCCTAGAACCGGACCCTAATTGTTTATAAGGGACTAGGACCCAACCCAAAGATGTAAAATATCTATATAGTTAAATGTATTTAAATATATTTCGTAAATATGTTAAATGTATTTAAATATATTTCGTAACTACATTAAATATATAATGGATTCTAAAGAATTGATTTGTGTCCAGGGGTCTTTTTGAAATTTTCTAAAAAGATGGGAAAATGTAAAAATAAGTATTAATGACCAATACAATTTCCAATCTTTGCCACAATGGTAAAAACATTAAAAAATGTATTACAAACAAAATCCCTTTTTTTTGGGATTTTTGTATAAATTTTTAATTGTTTTTTTAAAAAATACTCGGACGGTCACCAAAACCGGCCGTAACGGGCCGGTTCCAATCGACCTGGCGGATACCGGTTAGACCCCCCGATTTTTCCTTGACTGAGGTGTACTACAATGATATTGTTGTAATGGTCAGTCAGCTGCTGTATCCTAAACTCGAAATCGGCAACACTCAGTGGCTCTCTATAGGTTCCTTACACCAGATTATTGGGATAAACCACTAGAGCGACTGCCACTAGTCTAGGGCTTGAATTTCAGGGTTTACGGTCATGATATCACCCTCGATGTTATTATACCAGAGTCTTGCCAACACTGTACGGGACTGCGAGTCTTCACGGTCCTTAATCTCTGATTCAAGGTTTTCCACATGCACGGTCTTTGGTGGTGCTGTACCGCAGGTATACTACAGCAACATTGTTGTTCCGGTTGGCTGTATCCTAAACTTGAAATAGACAACACTCTGCGGCTTGTTATAGGCTCCTTACACCAGATTGTCAGATAAATACTGCTAGAGTGACTGCCATCTAGTCTAGGGATTCAATTTCAAGGCTTTACGGTCATTAAATCCCCCTCAATGTTATTATACCACTGTCTTGTCAACACTGTATGGGATTATGTGTCTTCACAGTTTTTGATCCCTGCTTTAGGGTTTTCCAGGCGCACGATCTTTGGTGCTGCCATGCCATAGGTATACTACAGCAATGTTGTTGTCACGATCAGTCTGCTGCTGTGTTCTAAACTCGAAATCAACAACACTCCAAGGCTCTCTATAGGTTCCTTACACCAGACTACTGGGATAATACCACTAGAGTGACTGCCATCTTGTCTAGGGCTTCAATTTCAAGGCTTAAGGTCATTAAATCCCCCTCGATGTTATTATTCCAGAGTCTTGGGAACCCAGTGCGGCATTAATCGTCTTCACAGTCTTTGATTCCTGGTTTTCTAGGGGCACAGTCTTTAGTGTTGCCATTCCGCAGGTACACTACAATGGCACTGTTGGTACGGTCGGTCAGCGGCCGTATCCTAAACTTGAAATCGACAACACTCAGTGGCTCTCTATAGGTTCCTTACACCACACCATCGAGATAAAACCATTAGAGTGACTGCCACCTAGTCTAGAGCTTCAATTTCAAGGCTCACGGTCATTGAACCCCCTCGATGTTCTTGTATATCATGTTTTTCTGAAAAATAATGGATGTCATTTAAACAAAATAGCTGTTTATTGTTGTCTCTCGCCGCACCGTGGTGGTTTGTACTTCCCCGTAGTCAATAGTTCCTAGACTCCATGGTCCATGCCACACACCACCATGCGCTGACCATTGTAGGTTGAAGGGAGCCCCATAAATGTATTAGTTTTTTCTTTTTTCTTTTTAATTTGAGGTAATTTGTGGTCACAAGTCACCGCATGCAGCTAAGGCGTGCAATTCAGCCAAGTGCCATGGATCGAATAGGCAATGCAGCCAGTGGAGACCTGTATCTTACCTCTCCTCCCTCCTATCATCAACTCAACTCATGGTATTATATCAACCTGAAACTGAGAACTAAGGCCACTGCCTTCAAGCCCACTGCCTGGCATCTCCTCCACACGATTCAACTTCATAACGCAAGCTCCCTTCCTCAAACCAACCATTTTCCGAATTTCTTCTTAAGATTCAAATGTGGAAATCTTTTGTTTTAGGGGTCATATTTTCTTTTTTCCCTATCGCCGTTATTTTTGTCTGCAATTTAAAGGATTTATATAATTTTTCTTCCATCTCTTGTACTGCATGAAGCCTTTCCTAGCAGTTTCTCTCACCACTGCTGTCGTTTTGTCTTCCCACGCGCACACAATCCATTTCTCCCCCCTCCCAGCCCCCCAATTTTTTTTCTTTTTTGTGGGTATTCAAGCTTAATCTTCCTAATGCTAAGCGATTACCTTAAGACCTCCACTATTACAGCGAGCATTTCACATGGCATTATTGTCTTTGTTTTATGACCATGAAATCATGATTCCCCAATCACTGTAGTTTTACACTCTACTCTGGAGTTCCAAGCTCTTATTCTGCAGGATTATTCCCCAAGCAAATGATGTCTCCACATCTTTCCTTATTTCCCTGTAAGGAGACAAGCTACACCCACCGTAGTTAGATGGTTAGGTCCACTCTACCAATGAGCATCCCAACTAGAAATCTCTGTCTTTTTTATTTAGGTTGAAGTTTCTTGTTTAACAGGTTGAATTCTTGTCAAACTATATAGAGTGTAGACGAAGGACCTAACTGTGTCCACTGTTTCATTTCTTTCCTATGTACTTAAACTTTTTTTGGCCTTTGTGTAGAATATGGACAGCAACGACCCTAAAGGCGAGCTTACTGCCAATTTAGGTAATTTTGTGCTATGGCTTCTCAAGGCCGAGGAGGTGGTTTCGAATGCTGAGAAATTTTTTCTATGGTTTGACAAGTATATGAGAGATCTTCATTGTCTTTGGAATCACTGTAAGAAAATGTTAATGCAAATCGACGCATTAGCAAGAAGTTAATTCAAATCGATGCATTGGCAAGAACGTTGACTCCATTGCCAAGAGGGTTTCCAAGCTTGAAATAGAGGTCGGAAAGTTGGTGAATGGGAGTGAGTACCTCGAGGATTCAAGGAACTTCGCTTCTTTGCTCAAACATATTAGATGTATAGGCTCTGGTTTTCATTTTTCTATTGACCAGGACTTCGTTGTCTCATATTGACCAGGACTTCATAGTCTCATTTTGTCTCCTGTATTTTTTTCCTGATTTCAGTCCCTTCCTGGACTACTCTCATGGTGTGGTTGCTTTCTTGTCCCTGACATGTCTTTTCGTTCTAATCATTGATGTATGAACATTGTCATGGTCTTAGAACTGTTGGTGTTACTCATGGACTCTTTATTCTTTTATTCTACAATCTGGCGTTCTTTTCTGTACCTTGATGTTCGCTTTTTGACTGATTGTCTTCATTCCTACGTACATGAATCCATATCTTGAACCGAGTATTATCGCCAGGTGAACGGACATAAAAAACTTGATTGTATGGACTATTGCACTGTATGGAATGGTTTTCAATCTTTATGCTTGGTCATCTCCATAAGATAATATGTGATAATGTGACATGCTATCTATGATTTTCTATGATAGAAAGAGGTTCCTGCCAATGATTTAAAAAGCGGACCGTCCAGCACTTGGGGGGTCTAGAAGGCCAGGGCGCATCGCCCAGGCCTAGGCGGAGTATCCCTGGGTGCTCGGGAACTTGCCTAGGCATGCGCCCAGCCCTGAGCGGCCGCCCCCTCATTGAGGGCTTTTTTTGGTCATTTTTTTAATACTAAAGGGTTAAAATTGTTGGTTTTATGTTAATTTTAGAGCCTATTTTAGAGAGAGAAAAACCCCAAAAAACTAGTTTGGTCGGTAAATTTTAAGTTTTAGCTATGTGGATTGTGGAGGGTGGACTAACAAACTATGGATAATTGGATACGGACTTATGGTTATGGAGTATGTAGTGTGTGCTATGTTATACAACTATACTTGTACTGTTAAACTACAAAGATATTTTTCTTTCTACTGGGCCGCCTAGGTTTTGGGCGCCCGCCTAGGGGCTGGGTGGCATGGACCACTCCGCCACCTAGCGCTTTTTGAAACACTGGTTCTTGCACTATCTTGGTACCCCTCTCAAAATATCTTCACAGAGTCTCCTTGCATATGCTGTGGTATGTTTCATTTTTATCATGTTCCATTAATTCTCTTGTTTTATCAGACTAACCTAGCAGAGGAGATGGACTATGTCTTCGACCCGGAGCCACCCCAACCTCAACTTCCTAGACCTCCTATATCATACAAGAACCTCTTGCAACAGGAGTTTCAACGCCTTGGTCAAACCCTCCCCACATATGTGATTTCTGACTGTGGTTCTCCTCGACGCCGCATCTTCAAGGCAACTGTCTCTCACCGTGGTCATGATTTCATTGGGGCATTGGCATATACCCGTAAGGCAGCAGAGCAGAGTGCTGCTCGTGAGGCTTACGTCTACATTTCCAACCATGGGCCAGACCCCTCCACTGAAGAACGTTTGAAGGAGGCCAATCTCCTTGTCGAGGCTCTTCGTTGCCAACTCCAAGAGAAGAGCGAGGAGTTGGCCTCTGAGAAGTTCATCTCCAACTACCAAGAGGCCGAGATCTCGCGCCTCAGGTCTGAACTTAGCGTTATGGGGACTCAGCTGGAGGCAGTGACTGCAGCCACTAAGGACCTCACGGCCCATCTTGCGCGTGTTATGGCCCTAGAACGAGCACCTGAGGCTAGAAACAGCTCTTATATATCAGCAGGTGGTAGCAACCACACCATGGCTGAATAGGTCCTCATTGTGCCGCAATCCTCTTTTTGGTAGCACTTTTCTAGCTTTTTGTGGATGTACTTGCTCTCTTTTTTGGTGGATTTCCTTGCCCCCACTCTTTGTACATTGCAAATATCAGGCCATGGGTTCCTCGGGCACAGAAGCCCCTCACTCCTCTAAACTCTTCCTTTTTGATTTGGACAATGCTCCCCCCGTCTAAATTTTATAATGTCTAATATTATATCTTTTTGTACTCCTATTACGTCTGATTCGTTTCTATCTTCAATTTTAATTTTTATGTATCATGGCGTTAGACTTTACCGTATCCATACATCAAAAACCTATTTTAGCAGTTTTAGTAAAATCTCCACCTCATTATTTTATTGGGTGACCTACTGCACCCCCTCTTCCCCGATATTTTTTTGTGAATCTACTATTAAAACATTGTGTTCTAAAAGGTGGACAGCCGAGTGCCTAGGCAATCTAGAGGGCCTGGGCGTCTCGCCTAGGCTAGCTCTCAGAGTCGAGGGCCCGCAATAGGAAAAAAATTGTGGGTTTTTGGTTCATTTTAAATCTAAACTATTAGAACACATTTCAGAAACCTCAAAAAAATAATTTTTAGTACGTGGGTAGGCGAACGGCACACGG